GTAAAGTGCTAGAAACTTCCTTAAAATCATACTAAATACATCTTTTTCTTCACTCTATTCTGCCTAGTTGCCTTCCCTTCCTATGTTCCAGGCCTCATCAGGACCAATTAGAACTATGTAGCAACCAGTCCAGGGAAAGTGACAGAGTGTGTGGAGGGGTGTAAATTGAAGGAGTCAGGTGGAATAGTTAAAGATGGAATGGAGGTATGTGTTAGCTTTCTGTTTATAGAAAATTAAAGATGAGAAATTCAACTCAGATGGAGGAAAGTTTTATTTTAGCTCAAAGTTTCTGAGATTTCAGTTTGTGGTCAGCTAGTTCCCATGGTTCAGTTCCTGTGTTGAGACAGCAGACGACAGTGGGTGGGATGTGTGCATAGGGCATTTAATACTGAGTAAAACTCATCAGTTTATGGCCATAGGAAGTGAAGAGAAAGAAAGGGAGAGAAAGAGGAGAGGAAAGGTAGGATGTGGAGGAGGAGGGAGATAAAAGTGGGTTAGGGTCATGAAATCCTCTTTAAGGACGTGACCTCAACAACTCAACTTTCTTCAACTTGACGCCACCCTCTAAGGTTTCACTACTTCTCAATCTCATCACAGGTTTAGATCAAATGTTTAACATGCATGCCTTTGGGAGTGACATTTATCATCTGAACAATAAGATACTATTGTCAACATTCCCTTTTGTTTTCCTCCCAGTCACCACAGCACAATTCAGGGTTGGCTCAGATTCTTTCCTAGGTTCACTGTACCTTTGTTTCAATGGAAGTTCCTACCTTTGAAATGGAACTCTATTTTCTCTGAGCTGGGCCATGCCTTGACTCTAATTATCCCTCCACATGCTTTATCTCAGACACCGTGGGCCACCATGATGATTTAATTTTTCTAGGGAATTTTCTCATACACTCCCTTGAAGAAAATTTGATGCGGTTGGAAATCCCCTCCTTTGTGGGCGTCACTGGCTACTGCTGCTTTTCCTATCCTGCACCAGACAAAGAGCCAGGAGGCAGGGTCAGCCCTCGAAACTCATGCACTTACTCATAGGTCAGACTAAGAAAAGACTATCTTCCCTTGTGATTGACACTACCCAGCCAACACAATATTATTTTTATAGTCGTTGCTTTTCTTATCTACAAGTACTCCAAACGCCTGTGTTCCCTCTATAACAGTATCTGAGCTATGCTATTAGAACACTGTAATATATCCCAGGACAGTCCTCAAAATCAGAGCCAATGTGGACACAGTGCTTAGCACTGTTGGATGATGAGTAGACTCAGCACAGGCATTATTGGTGATCATTATGATCCTATTCAGCGCCATTATTGTATAATTATATGGTATATGAGACTTAATATATGACTGAAGGACACACCCAAGCCCCAAAACATTCATGTGATCTTCTCTCTGGCCATTCATTGCTACAACAATGGTTTCTAACTTGTGATTTTAGGAGTTGTGCACTCTCCTTAAAACCATATTTACTTACCACTAAACCTCTTCATATATTTCAGGTAGAGAAATGACCACTGTGCTTTTCCTGCCTACCTAGTCTATTTTCTGATGACAGAGTGGAATGTATGAGTGAGTCTTGGTATTTTGTAAAGAGGTTTATTTAATTCATAGGTTCGGAAGCTGGTAATTATAGATCAGCGATCTATATTTCTATCTGTTCAGTTCTGGCAAGGGCTCCATTATGCATGCCATCAGCATTAAGGGAGTACTTGTGAGAGATGAAGTGTTGAGACTGGGAGGAGGCCAGCTTGCTTTGCAAAACAACTCGCTTCCATGGGAATGAAACCCTTCTGGGGATGGCACACTGAATGACTTAATTATCGTCTACCATGCCCCAACCTATAACAATTCTACTGCCTCAGCAACCTTCAGCACACATCCATAGTACTATCAAAAGGGGAAAAGCATTATAGTCTGTTGACATTATTAGGTTTATTTCTCAAACTATATGGGAATAATTTATCAAAAGTCAGTTGCTGTAGAGATTCAGAATTATTTATTTATTTATTTTTTATTAAAAAAAATTCTGCCTCCTCCCAGCCTCCCATTTCCCTCTCCCTCCTCCCATTCCTCTCCCCTTTCCCCCCTCCTCTCCCTCTCCAGTCCAAAGAGCAGTCAGGGTTCCCTGCCCTGTGGAAAGTGGTCCTCCCCCCTCCATCCAGGTATAGGAAGGTGAGCATCCAAACTGGCTAGGCTCCCACAAAGCCAGAACATGAAGTAGGATCAAAACCCAGTGCCATTGTCCTTGGCTTCTCAACAGCCCTCATTGTCCGCCATGTTCAGAGAGTCCGGTTTTATCCCATGCTTTTTCAGTCCCAGTCCATCTGGCCTTGGTGAGCAGAAGGAGGGAGAACATGAGCAAGAAAGTCGGGACCATGAGGGGTGCACCCACCCACTGAGACAGTGGGGCTGATCTATTGGGAGATTCAGAATTTTAGACTGAGAATCTGTTTAAAATTCCAGATGTCATGCATATTTGTTATAATAGAAACTGACTTGTAGGTGGTCACGGAGTGATTGATTAGTTAAGTAGGATGGATGAGAAGGGAGAGTGAAAGATTCCATTTGGTTCTTACAATCAATCAATATTTACAAGCACAGTAAAGCTATCTTCTGATAATCTATAACTTAGCCTCGGTTGTCATCAGTAGAAACTACAATACCAATCTGAAGTCTTATGTAAAATATCAATCTTTGATCATAATTTTATACTTGCAAGCTTTACCACATAGTTCCTGTATAACCACTCCTCTGTTCTACAAGATTTTAAAGACTTAACTATTCTTATGCTTTTTCAAATAATACCAAAGCTGAATTGGTCTCATCCCATCCAGGGTTCTATGGGTACTGTGGCTTAGGGTTTGAAGATTTGTCTATTAGAAGTCTCTTAAGGAATTACTGGTTAGCTTGAAAGGTCCTTGATGAGCGTGAACAAGATGGTCATACTACAAATGGTTCACAAGTCGGTTCATAAATCAATAAGTCCTCAGTTTGGATGTAACTACATTTATGACCTGAGATACTGTCTGAGCATGAGTCATGTGAGTCCCTGCTGGTAAAGTATCCATTCCCAGTGGTTGTTGAGAAATTATATCCTCACCCTGATATCTAATTTGTGTGATACCTAATCTCTTCCATTCTTTTTACTATAATGGCTGGGGAGTCAGAGTCTGCTCCTTCGCTGAGTCTATACCTCTCTTTATCTAAGAAATAAGTACTGTTTTAAAACCATAAATAAAGACAACTTTTTTTTTATACCCCTGGTCTCTACACTTATGCATCTGTGGGTGCAAACAGCATATAATGAAACATTATTAAGAAATTGTGTTGTCCATACAAACATGTACTGATCCTATTTTCTTATCTGTGGAAGACAAAATAAGGCAGCACAGGTTATAATGGGGCCACCCTTCAACTATTGTTAACAGTCTATTCCTAAGGGAAGCTTCCTGGGATTTCATGAGACTATATTAATGCTCACAATATCATATAGCAACAGTATTATAGATTTACATTGTATTGACTACTACAACTAATTTAAAGATAAATTAAAGCACTGGGGAGATTTTAATAGGTTAGATGTAAATATGTATTATTCTATAAAAGCATCCATGATTAGACATGGGGTTCCTAGGATGGCATTGTATGGAAATTGAAGGACGAATGTATTTCAGGATACAGTGATAACTGATCTGTAAACTTCCTACCCCAGAGGAAACATTTCTTTTTATGAGCGATAAAACATGAAATAAGTTTGCATATGGCATTCATGATAATTTTTTTGTATAATATTCCAGTAGTATTCTTTATCACTAATAAGTGGTTGAATTTCATCAAATGTTTATTTTTTAATCTATTAAGATAATGTCATGGTTTTAATTTTTTTTATCCTGATAGGAATATCTTATCAGCTTTCATCACCTTGTCTGGGCTGTGATGGGTGGGGCAGGAATAAGTTGGGGACAAGAAGTTCCCTGTGGTATATTTTCTTCACCTCTTAAAATTTCCGGAGGCTTCCGAGACAGAGCCATCAGAGGCATTTAATATTCAGACCATAGCACTGCACCCTTGGCCTCTACAGGTTCAGGAGCATCCCATAAGGTAGAATGCATTTGGTCCATCTCCAGACTCTCCAAGTCCTTACCAGTGCTAATATTCTTGAAAGATCTGACTTCAAAGTCTCTTCTTAGACTCAAAGCCACACTTGGCTGTGGTTGTGCAAATACAGCACAAAATAAACACTCTCATTCTGAGAGAAATACTAGAATAACAAGACATGATGGGACCGAAGAAAGACAAAAACACAGGAGAGGATTTTAAACTTGTAGTTCCATATCTGGCATCATATGATTTGAACACCAGGCGTAGAAAGAGGAATACTTGATCTCACTCACACATGCAAAGTAAAAGTAGAGAGTAGAACAGTGTTGGCCCTGTTTGCAATAAACCAGGAAAAGGAAGCGATGATGTGATAACCAATCAACATTTTAGCTGTGCAAGCTGACTACATTTTATAGACATAATATACAAGGTGGTTACAGTTAATATACTATCTTAAATGTACCTTGCAGGTAGTTCTCATGCATATGTATGTATTACAAAAAGGGCATATACAAGGTAATATGTATGCAAAGTAGCTCGATTGTGGCAATCCAGGTTTTTATGTCAAAATACTAACTTACACACCTTAAATATAGACAGTTTGAGTTTATTAGCTATACTTCAATAAAACTGAAAGAAAAAAAATCAAGTTGGTTTTGTGCCATGTAAGTGAGGGATTTTCTTTACACGTGAGTAGGGCTGCTAGACTGGTCCCAAAGGCTTCCTGTTTCTGGTGCTGACTTGCCGTGGCTTGGCTCAGGTTTACTGATTTGAATTATGCAGTGCAGCTGAGCAGGCTGCTAGTGTAGCTCTGCCCTTCTTTCTCGGCACACAGCAGCACTGGCTGGGATTGTTTCTGGGAACCTGGAGGGAGCAAGGACATACTGACATTTTGCATTGATTAAATCACATTTGGGTGAGTAAATTAATTCTTTGCTTACAGCCTTATGGTGGACATTTGTAGGGTGTAGTCCGTAAATTGTTTTTGAGATCGAATTTTCCTAACACATTGGCTTCTGCTGTGTCTTGTTCAATAAGAGAAGTTTCCTATCGACCAGTTTGGGGAAAGCTCGCAAAGATCAAAACTTTGTGTTTCACAATTCAGAGGCAAATGGACACTGACAAAGACAGTTTCAGATCACATGTTTTCTTCTCTTCTTTAGATCTTACAGAAATGAAAACAGAAAACTCAGACATTTGCTTCTGTTGAGACAAAGATTTATCCTTATTTTTCCACATGGTCCAAACTATTTAAACCAGTATTCCTTTGGGTTAGTGTGCTACCTTGTTAGAAACCTGAGATGCTGGAGTCAGGTGCGCCAATCTGATGACTGTAGAAAGGTTGCATTCAAACCTTACATGGAGACATACATTTGTATTGTAAACAAATAGGAGCATGTTTCTTGAAGCAGCATGTTTTTTGGATCAGCTGTGATAGTTTTAACTACAGATTTTTAATCTAGTGCCCCAAAAAGAGATCATGGGGAAATGCCTCTAGTACTTCCTCAACAAGATATGGTTTTATGTTAGTTATCTAATTCAGTGAAGATAAATTGCTCTTCTCTGTGTGGAAGAATAATCCAACATAATAAGAAATAGTGGAAAAATCTGTGGATATTTAGTCCTTACTAACGACAGCTGTGCAATCAGTGGCTTTAGTAAGAGGAGAAAGAGGAGAGAGGGAAAATCCATTTTTTACCTCATAAAGCTTCATGTCTTCATAATGACTGCCTCAATAAATAAAAACAAGAGTTGGACAGAATAAAGGTCAGTGGACAACTGATGGAGGAGGGTCATCTTTCTATCTGTTGATTTCATTGGTTAAGCAATAAAGAAACTGCTTGGCCCTCATAGGTTAAAACATAGGTGGGTGGAGTAAACAGAACAGAATGTTGGGAGAAAGAAGCTGAGTCAAGGAGTCGCCATGATTCTTCCACCCCAGGCAGACGCAGGTTAAGATCATTCCTGGTAAGCCAGCTCGTGGGCTACACAGATTATTAGAAATGGGCTAGTCTAGGTGCGAGAGTTAGCCGAGAAAAGGCTGGAACTGATGGGCCAAGCGGTGTTTAAAAGAATACAGTTTCCGTGTAATTATTTCAGGTAAAGCTAGCCGGGTGGCAGGACACAGCCCGCCGCTCATACTACTACAGACAACTGTAGAATGAAGCACCCTGTTCACTTGATTATTGGCCAACAATGCTAGTTATACATGACTTTGGTCAGAATTCTTGGGCATGTTGACAGATCCAGTCATGCATTTCCTGGACCACTTTCGTCCAACTCAATTTATTCCAGATTTTAAGTAACAAGCTGGTCTATATAATAGTTTTTTTTTTAAAGTCAGTGTAAGCCTTTACAGTCGTTTAGTGTCTCTACCAGAGATTCAAATGCTCTAAGTAAAATTGCGCTAAAATTCATTTTATTGTTTGCACATGAATCAGTTTGGTCTGAGGACATACAAACATCTGTCAAACACATAAAAAGTAGCTGAAGTGGTAAGAGAGTGTTTATGGTCATATCTGTTTGCTGCCATCTTCTGTAGCATCGGTTCACTAAGTCCTGGAAGTCCAGCATGGACAACTCAGCCTCAGGAGGACATGGGCATCTTGTGAGTTTTTCAAAGGTAGGAAATACAGAGCAGTCAAAGTATTGGAAGACAGGGAACTCTGCAGAAGAGGTGTCCTGGGCCTTGAATGCCCCCAGGAGACTCTGAGAAATAGCCCTGAGCACCATCACCCAGTACCAGCTAGAAGAACACTGTGAGAATGGGGTCCCACTGATCTGGAGATTACTGATGCCTGAAGGCTGGGCAGAGGACATCAGGAAGGAGCCACATGTTCTTCCTCTCTAGCGGCCACAGCAAGATTTTTATCCTTGGACTGGCTGGAAACATGAGTGTTCTGAAGCCAGGCAGGCACATGCTCCATCTTGGCATTTGGGAAGAGTACAGAGATGAATCTGAAGTTCATGGTTCCTTGTTTTATGAAATCAATTTGCATCGTGCCATGAATGCAAGTCAAGCTGCTTAGTATATAAGCCATGCTCATCCTTGTCCACCTGCGACTCAGTGTTTTCCAAACTCTATTTGCATGTGGAGCTGTTGCATTTGGGGCTGATTTCTATAATTATCACTACTGTCTTATCTTTCAGACTGTGCTCCTTCCATATATGATATCATCTCCATCTATATGATACCAATACCTAATATTCTATCCTTGTATATGTCAGTTGCAGTTTGGGGCCATTCATTAAAAAGAAGCTCACAAATTTCACCACCTCCATGACTGTGTCCGTAGGATAAGTGATAAAGACTTTCTGTAGTTTTTTGGCAAATGGAAAATTTTTAGAGTCCCTTTGGTTTGGAAGTTCCTAGGTGATTGCTTGGGGGATCTAGGCACAGAAGCTGCAGATGGAGCCTGGAGATGCTGTGGTCTCAGCTTGGCATGGTGTTCCAAAAACTCCTGTGGATTTCTAGCTCTGTTAGGTAGTGGGTGATAGATCTGGTCCCCCGTAATCCTTGGGAAGAGCAGTCTCTCTGTGGAGGCCTCTCTCTTTGTTCTGGGGGCTGGAGTAATTCAGAGTGTAATTTAATCTGTAGTGGGCATAAGCCACTTGCAGAGATGGCTGGATCACTCGCTGGTGGTTGGTTGTTCAAGGGTAATCATGGCACCTGGTTGTAGGGCTTCCAAAATGGTAGTCTTGATAGTCCCATGGAGCCTTAGGGGAAGGATTGGGAGGCAGCTTCTATGCATATTCTATATCCCTCAGAGGTCCAGGGAGGCATATGCCCAGGATATCACTGTGCAGGGAATGATACTATCTATCATGGGCAGATGTGAGGCTGTGCTGTTGCCATCAGGTTGGAGTCATGACATTGTATCTTGGTCACAACTGGAGGAGTCTGATTTGTCTAAGTCACGGAATGGTTCCTTTGTTAAATGCCTACAAATGTTCACAGCTTCACTGCCACTTACATGTTGCCTGTCCAAGTATTTCTTCTACAAAGGGCTACAACAAACAGTTACAACACAAAACAAAAATTATTTACTGCCTAGACTAATGTATCCATGAGCACGGTTCTGTAAATTCATCCAAATAACACAGTGTTGTGGGGGTATTCACCAGAAAAGATTGCTTGAATGTGTGCTTAGGTCAATGGAAAGTATTAGCTTGTCTGTGACTACACTGGGTGTTCGGGATCCCAGTGTAGCACTGAGACTTTCTGAGGGTGAACTTTAAAGCACAAAACCATGTACTGCATTGCCATAGTTCACTTAACAAGAACAGTTAGCCAGAAGCAGAACCTTAGAAGTAAAAAGCAAGGTTAGTCCATTTAAAGACTTTCAAGAACTATGGACTCTAATGGATTAGTCTTTTGTTTTAGTTTTGGCAAGTGGTACTGTCTATGTGTTGAGATTTATAGCCTGAATGGTACTTTCACAATGGAGTCAGTTGTGCTAAGGTCTTGGGTCCTGTTCTGGCAGTGTATACCATCAATATGGATTTTATGATTTAATAATCTCAGGAGTTGGATGTTTGTTTGAGCCAAGCAGTTCAAAGCCATCCTGTACAACGCAGAATGACCTTGACTCTGGAAAGTAAATAAATAAACAAACGGTATTTTTTAGCTTTTTCTTTTCTTTTTAATTTATTTACATACTAACCACAGTTTCCTCTCCATCTTCTCCGTTTTTTCCCTCCCCAACCTCCTTCTACCCCATCCCTACAACATCCATTCCTCCTTGTCTCCAATCAGAAAGGGTAAAGCCTCCCATGGGAGTCAACAAAGCATGCCATATCAAGTAGAGGCAGGACCAAAGGCTGGACAAGGCATCCTACCACAGGATGCCTTGGGTTCAAAGAGCCAGCTCATGCATCATGGACCAGAACAGGTCCTGGTCCCATTGCTGGGGGCCCCACAAAAGACCATGCTACACAACTATCATCTACATGCAGATGGTTTAGGTGTCCCAGGTCGACTCCCTAGCTGTTGGTTCAGAGTCCATGAGCTTCCACAAACTCAGGTCTGCTGTCTCTGGGTTTCCCCACCATGATCTTGATCTTCCTTGCTCATATATTCCCTCCTCCCTCTCTTCAACTGGACTCCCAGAGTGTGGCCCAGTGCTTGGCTGTGGATCTCTGTATCTGCTTCCATCAGTTACTGGATGAAGGTTCTGTGATGACAATTAGTGTAGTCACCAATGTGCTTTCAGGGGAAGACCAGTTCAGGCACCCTCTCCACTATTTTCTAATAAATAGTTATTTATGGATAATCAAGATCCTGAGCTTCCCCATAAAATTATATATGTGATATATATTCAACTTCCATAAAAACCTGTTTGTATTTTAAGAATTTGTTTAAGGTATAGGTAAAAATTAACAGTAAACTTATCAAAAATACTTTGCCAATCTATGAACTTGTTACAGCTTTGAATTCAGATGGATCTTTAATTTCTCTAAAAAAATCTTATAGTTTTATTGTGCAATTATATTTAATTTTGACATTATATTTATAAATTATATTTTAATATATTGCTAATATTTTAAGCACTTGTTTTTTAGATGTAATGTCCTAAGAATGGTACCTAAAACAAAATTTGCTTTTCTTTTTGTGTGTGGGTGGGGTGTGTGTGTGTGTGCTCAGAAGCCAACAACAGGTTTCTATCGCAACTACTTTCCATTTTGGGAGCAGGATTTCTCACTGAACCCCAAGTTCACTGATTTGGCTAGACTGGCTGGCCAACAAGCCTCTCAGATCCTCTTATCTCCACTCCCACTCGTAACACTGGGATTACAGGTTTATGCCTCTACATCCGGCCTTTCATTTGCATTATATGCGGATATGCACAGAGACTCTGTTGTGAAGGCTCCTCTAATGCTTTATTCCAGTCCACATATGACTGCTAACATTTCTTC